TCACCCTCGTTTTTGCTGAATTTGCTTGCTAACATCACGAACCATCTATGATAACCTAATGAAGATATCTGGTCACTTCATCGCTAGGATAACTTACCACAAAAATCAATGCCTGACAATACAGTAGAGTGTTACTGTATCCTTATTAAAGACTTCAGACAAAATTGTATCGTGCAACGTAAGACTGGTTCGTGGAAAGGGAGAACGAGATTCGCAAACAAGCGCGGGGAAAGTGTAGAAAGTGGTGTAAGGAAGCTACTCATAATATCAAAGGAGAGATTTTGTTACTCTGAGTCTGTAGAGTATTGAGGGGTATAAAGTTACAACGTAACTTTTCATATTGACTGGAAATAAAAGTGTTTAATTTAATGCTTAAAGCTGTGGTAACTTCTTAGTGCAACATAAGGCCTGCCTTCATCAGACCAAAGCTGCAAAATAACCCGCTATTTAAACTAGCCCGATCTCAAATTAGCCAGCTAATTTACGTCTTCATCGGCCCGCAGTTGCAATCAGCGGGTGATTTGGTTGAGAAAATATCCAGAGAAATCTTTAATAGTCTTGTTTCCAAAATAGCCAGCTATTTGGGAAATAGCGTGCTAATTTGTGCCCGTCCGAGCTAGTTTTTAATGAGCGTATCGGCCTGAAAATATTGGGGTTTTTTGCAACTTCGTTCTGATGCAGACAGGTTTTATAGTCATATAGTGTATTAATAAAATCCAAATGAGAGGACAATCTTTCACCAGGTAATTTGTATAGCGCCGTCTATCTAGACAATTCTATTCCGAGGCGCACAAGAAAAATAGAAAGAATGGGATAGTTTGGATGAGTGTCATAGTGCCAAGTACAGGTATTGTTAAAAATGATAAGATTTCAGGTTGGATTTAAAGGTCTCTATAACCCTTTGTTGTTGTGCAGTTGCCATGCATGCACACATAAAAAAGCAGCTTTTTGTCCCCCCTGGCGATTTTCCGCATTGTATCTGAAAGAGCCTGCACAGTAATTCCATAATGGTTAATTTGATAAGGATCTTTTAAGAGAAAAATGGGGAATTTCCCTTTTTTTATCAACCCTTTTTGTTTAAGTAGGATTGTGACAGAACACATTTCAGCCTGGATGTTTTCGTTATAAGCTCAAGAGAGGACATTATAAGACATCTTCTTCTGGCTCTCAGTCAATGGTTAATAATGAAGATTGAAATGGTGATCAAATAAACCAATCCTCTGAACTTGTGCATGTAGCAGATGTTATATGCAAAACCAAAACGTCAGTGTCCTGTGGCTATTCAAAACCTCGCTCATTTGTATGTATACATGTGTGTCACATATTTGATGCAGGATATTTTATTGATATGAAATAAATCACATCAAAAGTGGTGAATAATTGACGATCAATGGGACATTAATGCTCGCACATTTCAGTCCCTGCGTCATCAATCAATATGGCCATTTTCCGCCTCTTCCCTCCACCTTCCTCATGCCGTAATGAGAAATGCCTTCTCCCAAGTTTTCGCTCAGTAGGCTTGACTCTTGCGTCCAAACACTCAACTATACTTGCTGTGTGAATTCATGAATATTCCAGAAGAAAGGAATAAGTGACAAAACAATTCACTGTGGGTTTCACTTTCAGTTTTTGTCTGTATCTGATTTCAAAATTCAGCCTGATGTTTAATACTTCAGGATGTGTTATAACCTCAGAGAGGGGTGTAAAGAGAAGGAGTGGAAAAGAGATAGGTAAAGTGATAGACAGAAAGAAACAGATAAAAGGATCAGAGAGAAGAAGAGGAAAAGAGAAAGAGAGAGAGAGAGAGAAAGAAAGAAATTGATAGACAAAGAGAAACAGGTGGAAAGAGAAGGAGAGGAAAAGAGACAGGTAAAGTGATAGACAAAAAGAAACAGATAAAAGGATCAGAGAGAAGAAGAGAAAAAGATAGAGAAAAAAAGAGAGAGAGAGGGAGAGAGAGAAAGAAATTGATAGACAAAGAGAAACAGGTGGAAAGAGAAGGAGAGGAAAAGAAGGTTGATAAAGTGATCATCAAAGAGATGGAGAGGAAGGAGGGGGTCGATGTTCATGTTGACGTTTGAGAAGACAAAGTTGAATGCAACAAATACTTTGGGGGTTTGAAAATCTAGTTCAGAATTAATGATCTGGGCCCTGTTGCACAAAACTTTGCCATCAATATCAACTATCATGACAACATGCAAATGAAATCAAGGTTTCCAAGGAAGTTACCGTCAATCGTAAGTTTAATGCAACAGGGGCCTAGAAGTCATTCTCTAATGTGAAACCAAAAGAAATAAATCGCAAAGAATAGAAAGGGAGTTTGAAAACATCATCAAGGCTTTTGGTAATGATAGCTCATAATAGCAGCCAATAAATTTCACCGAAGCATTCGTGATGAATCGTGCAGATACTAAGCTTGACATTTCAGCTGTCTCTCCAGGTCTCCCTCGCATTTGTTACCATGGCAACAAGTTTTTTTTGTAGGGAAGAGGAGTATTTTGTCTCATTGCTCTCTGATCCAACTCTCCTTTCATGTGAAACCTAGAAACCTGATGACGGTTCATACCACGGGTATGGATCTGTCAAAGTCGCTCTCATGCCACGAGTTGAGGAGACCCCATTAGTTTTTCTACTTATCAGTTCTCGTTTTCTCCCCGATACATCTTTGCCCCAAAGCTCCAATTTGGTATACATTTAGAGTGTCAAGTTAATACCCAAAACAAATCAAGCCATGGCTTGTTGAAGCTCTTTGTTTGTCCTGTCCCAAGTATTTTAGTCAATTGTGTTAAGATGGTATTTTAGCTTTGAAATTCCTTTACAAAGTCTTCAAATTCTCTATTCACATCTTATGAAGATTGAAGAAAATGGTAGTTTGTTGTTCTATTTGTCATGTTCCATTCTTGATCAAAGACGACACTTTGAATCTCATTCTCTTGTTTTATAATCTATAGAAGCTAGTCTTGCCCTTCATGTTTCGGTCTTTTGTTACAGATAAATTTTTTAACATAAAATTTGGTCCCCCCCCCCCCCCCCAAAAAAAGCACATTTCACTGAATTTCATTGTTTTGATATTTGAAGCAAAATTATGAATTGAATGCATAAACATTGAATTGAATCCTTAATGCATGCATTAAAAGCAAAATTAAGGCAAAAGTTAATATCACTAAATACCACTAAATACATCCACTCTCTCTCTCTCTCTCTCTCTCTCTCTCTCTCTCTGTCTTTGATTCTTTTTTCTTTTTCCTCTCACCACTGTCTCTCATTTAATGGTTCTTTTTCTCTGACACATAAACACCCCGCAAATAATCAATCTATTGTGCTTGTAGTTTATCAGTATGACATAAATCATTCCTGAAGAATTGCCTTCCACAATTTCCTCAACAAAAGGAGAGGATGTAGGGGGAAAAAAAGATGTATTCATCGTAAAATATCGGAGCATCTGCAATTATGGGCCAGACATGGGGGGGGGGGAGAAAAATTCTCATCATCCATAATTTGTAAGAGCCCAATTACAGTTGCATCACATGTTTGTCTGCGTGTGAGATGAAGTAGGTTGGGGTTAAAGTAAGAGACAGAGAGATAGATAGACAGACAGAGGGGAGAGACAAACAAAAGATAGATAGATAATTAGAAAGAGACAGGCAGACAGACAGACAGACAGATAGAGACAGAGACAGAAACAAAGACAAATGGGAGAGACAGACAGACAGACAGACAGATGGGAGAGGCAAAGATAGAGCTAGACAGAGAGAGATATGGACAGAGATTCTGCGGATTCAAGTTGATTATTGCCTGTGTGCTCTGGTCTTTTTCCTTCTCAGACTGTATTCTGTTTGATTTAATGAGGAGAAAAAGAATAATTAGTTTGATTGCTTCCATGCTCCCTTATTGTTATCTTTTTTTGGTTGATTTGGTATCGAGGATGGGGGCGTATTGCTAATCAATATGAGTGCACATTGTTAGACAATGAAAGAGACAGAGTGGAGACAGCACTGTAGTTTATTCATGTAATGTACTGGTAATGAATGTTTAATGATACAATTGAAATTATACTAATTATAATGTAATGACAATTCATTTTGTTATGCTGTTGCAATAGTAGTAAGAATATCATTTTATATATATAATGTGTGTAGAATTTAATGTGCATTATGTGAAATTAATCAAATATATTGGGAAGCCATTAGTGAGCATACCAATTTGTTTTATTTGACGAGGACATATATTAGTAACCATATATAATGGTTTCATTTGAAGAGGACATAATTATATCAACCACAAAGCGCATTTTCTTTTTAAAAAATTAAAAATTATTTATAAAATTCACAGTTTTATGCTATTTTGGGGCCTTTATGATAATGGGTTTGTGTTTTCACTGATGTGTTTGATATTAAATATGTGTTTTTACATGAAAGAAACTGGAAATTTAATTTTTTTTTAAATTAGAAGAATCTGATAATTTTGCAAAAGTGCATTTATTGTAATTTTGTTCATAGCTTCCTCTGGTCGCTTCCAGGAGTCAGTAGGAAAGGTCAAAGGGTCATATTTAGGAATTCCACATTACTTGTTTTTTCCTTCCATAAATCTTCAGGAAGCACATTAGGGGAAGCTGAATCATCTGTTCTTAGTTTACATGTATATCTCAAATCTTTATGGTATTTTATCTTTTGTATCCCAAATAAATGATAATAATATTTTGTATGTGCGTGTGTCTAAGGTCAACAAGAGGAGGTGCGATAGCTCAGTTGGTAGAGCAGTGGTCTCGTAATCCGGCGACCAGGGTTCGAAACCAAGACGATGCGCTAGTGCCCTTAGGTATGGCATGAATCCTCATTACCAGGTCTCTCGGAGAGGACCTAAAGCCGTCGGTCCTCTGGTTGGTTACTAACAAGCATTCATGTTTTCTTAGCAGTCAGGTAAAATAACCACAACTACCACTACCACTACAGTTGTCATTTATTTCCTTATCTTCAGCTGCTAATGACCGTCTTCATTCTTTTTTAAAAATCTTCAACAGAAATGGCATGGACGTTGAGGGCGCTACCCACAAGTTCGTCGTGGACCTCATCAAGCAGGGGGGCAACGAACTCACGCTGACGGTCATCTCGGTGCCCAACTTCCGCGAGGAGAAGAAAGACCAGAGCGACGAGTCGTCCGGGTATTCCTACTGCGATTACAGCGACAAACGACCTGTGCCTATAACCATACCAGACTACCAACACATTACCAGTGATGGAGAAAAATATGTGGTGGGTATAGTTTGATTATCTGCCCTAATTTTTCTCGTATCCATGTATGTTAGATTTAATAGGAGAACACAATGACCTACATTGAGATTGCTGCGTCGTCTTGATTCGATTAACCGTGGTCCCCTCTTTCATTTTGAGAAGAAAAAAATATGTTATTCTCCATTCTAGTGGATTCTATTTTTTGCTGTGTCAACATTTCTTTACCCTTTCCATTCCCGTCTTGTGTCACTCCCCTAGCTCCCCTCTAGCGTATCATCCTATCATGTCACAGGATACACACTGTCTGTCCTACTCTCAAACTATGGCATTGTTCAGCAATACCTTCCATCTGTCAAACCCTCCTTCCAACTCCTTCCCCCCCCCCCCTCCTCCGTTCAACTCCCTTCCCCCTCTCCCCCCTCCTTTCAACTCACTTCCCCCTCTCCCCCTCCATTCAACTCACTAACCCCTCTCCCCCTCCTTTTCAACTCACTTCCCCCTCTCCCCCTCCTTTCAACTCACTATCCCCTCTCCCACTCCTCTCAACTCCCTTCCCCCTCTCCCCCTCCTTTCAACTCCCTTCCCCTCTCCCCCTCCTTTCAACTCCCTTCCCCCTCTCCCCCTCCTTTCAACTCCCTTCCCCCTCTCTCCTCTTTTTTTCTTCAACATCCTTTCCTTTCAAACCACCTCCATCTCCTACAATGAATATATTGCCTCTACATGTCAATAGAGTGTAATTCCTTCCTCCTTATATCTACCTTATATCTACCTTGTTTAAGGTTATTCAGGTAACTAATATCTATTTAGTAACATTGATGCCATAAGTAATGATACCTTAACAGAGAGGCGTGTTCAGATTTGAAGCCGTAAACCGTGGCGCTTTTAAAAAGATAACTGCACACATCTGTAATTCCTGCATGTATTCACTAAACTCTCTGTTATAAGATACAGAAATATGAAGGGGATGGCACTTCCGTTATTATTGATAAAATTCTTCCGTGGTTTACTGCTCTTATATGAACGAGGCTTAAGAACCATAGAACCAGTAGAGTGTGAACACACACTTCTACCTGGAGTTGCTCTCAACAGATTGTAATAGAAATATAATATTGAAGACAAGTACCTGTTTGAATACTTGTGCCGGTGAAGCTAGCACGATGTTCTTAAAGAAGGGACCAGACAAGTAATGCTAGTGTTCATGATTGTTAAGTCTATCAAGTTCTCACAATTGGTTAAACTACACCCCATCCTACAGTACTATACAAAAACATGCTATGCCACTTATTTTTGCTAGTTGCATCTTCCATAAGGCTAAGGATGAAACAGCCCATGGCAAATTTGCATTTAGCCGAGGAAACTAGCTTTTTGTTGATGTTTTTCTTACAATTTTTCTTCACGCATGTCATCCTGCCTCTCTTCGTTCCAGGCTAAAGCATGTTCATGAATATTGGCAAGGCTGCCTTCTAACTCTTCCAAAAAGATAATAACCCAGATTGTGGGATTCTGAGATTTAGTCCTGTTCAGACTAGTCTCATCCATCATGTAGCTATATGCCAACCGTATAGCTATATGATAAGTATCTTTTTCTTCTTAGTGTGAACGTTTTAGGACATTGTATGTATTACTCATTGCGGATATAGTATCAAAAATAATATTGCTAGTGATATTCGTTTGTCTCGCAGTGTATGGTCAACAAGGGATCTAGGAGATCACAACGTGCTGTATCACAAAATGTTGTATAATGAAATGGATGTTTGAGCATCATTTGAGTGAAAACTCATTAAAGAATAAGGGTCCAATTCAGATATGTATATCTTATCCTAATAAAATGTATAACTGGTTAGGGCTTATCGTGAGTGGGCACTGATGATTGGCAGGCTGTCTAGGCTGACACTAAATATGTCACATGACCTCTTAAAAACTAATTTCTTCAAACGATGTTGATCATGCTTTACTATTTCATGTGTGTATTAGCCCCATTCGCTGTATGATAATTCTTCATACATTTTTTTCTTTTTTTTAAGTTTTGTATAAATTTCTTACAGTGTGAACCGACTTTTATTCCAGTCCCACAAACATGAAATGAGATTCATGAATTCTTTGCTTTGAGCTTCCTTCATGTCGAGTTAGTGTTAGAATCCTAATCTGCTTTAATGAATCTTTGACAACTACTACTGAAAAGAAATGTAAATTTTCTGTTTCTATTTAAAATCTTGTGCTTTAGAAAAAAGTTTTTATGAATAGTTGATGAAGCTTATATGCATATTCTGCTTTAGAGTCTTATTGTATTTGATCAAGTCGAATATAAATGTATAAACATCTATACAATAAGTGTAGAAATAGGGATTGCTGGTTTTGGTAATTTACATTTTTTCAGGTTACAATTTAAGGACGTAAAAATGGCGGGGTGCAGCGTAAATATTATTATGTAGTTCTGTATTTTAATCGCTGTTTAGGGCCATTAATTGGAAATGGCTAAAGTCATTTGGAATATTTCAAGTTTAGATTGTTTCAAAAATTAAATGCCCACAAAAGTCATATTTTATATTATTTTTTAAAGTTACTTACATCAGTTTCCAGCTTATTTCAGGCATAAACACATCTGATACACTACTCTACTCCACCGATACAGAGAGTTTGCCAAGAGTTCATTGACTACCATTTTTCTTCAAGAACTGTTCCAAGAGTTCTTTGGAGGGAATTAACTCATCACCCTGTGTAATGCTGGAGATGTTTACGTCCTTCTCTGATATTGTTTCCCTTTAGGTTTACAACGTCTACATGGCGGGCAGACTGCTCTGCTCCCACCGATACAGCGAGTTTGCCAACGTCCACGCCAAACTCAAGAGGGAGTTCATCGACTACCAGTTTCCTAAGTTTCCCGGCAAGTGGCCCTTCACGCTATCCGATCAGCAGCTAGACACAAGGAGAAGAAGCCTAGAGCATTACATAGAGAAAGGTAACGGATGCATGAGATGATTTTGTGGGAAAAGAAAGCCGGAAGAGCGTTATTGAACAACCTTCAGACTCTAAAGAAGGCTTGTATGATCAATTTGCTCTCTACAGAAAATGTCATAAACTTTTTTTCCTTATTTTTGTTATGATGGAATAGATTTGTTTCATACATGGGATGCAAGAAAACATATTTACAATAATTATATTTAGGGTGAATATATGATTGAAAATTGTCTTGAGGAAAAACATAGATTTTTAAAAGTTCTTTTTAGTCCAGGGCAAATGGGGAGACATCTTTCAAGATACGACACGGAGTTGCCAATTTGTGTTTGATTGATTGCACCTTCAATAATTCATAGCTTTCTTCATTTTAATTGGTTTTTGCTCGAACTTTCCCTGACCCATTTCTCTCATTTTTTGCTTCTATTTAACCCAACGACCTTCTGTCACTTGGCAGATGATATCAACTGCACAAAGGACCAACATTATGTTTTTTTTTATATTGTTGCTGTCGCTCAGGTTATAGTGAATCAAAAGAGTGATAATGCAATATTCTTTGGATGATTAACCTTTAATTGCCATTAATTGATTAAGGGGCAATCCAACCCTCGTAGCAATTTCATTTTTATGAAAGCAGAAACATTAAATTTGTTGTCATTTTGTGTATTGGATAAAATGGGAAAGTTGTCCACCACTACACAACAGACACATTTCCGATTCAGCAAACTTGAAGAGCCCATACCTACACATATACCCGTAGTGATTACAACTTTCAAAAATTCAAACTTTCACCCCTCTCCTTATTAAGGTTGGATTCCCTTTGACTTCTCTTTAGCTTCTCTCCTGGTGCTTGATAGACAATATGATAAAAAGCCTGTATGTTCAATATCATTAGTAACATGATTGAAAGAAAGCAGCATCATGAATGTACAAAAGTACATTGTTATGATAGTCTCTATCTATTATGGTTCCTTCTTGATCAAACTTGTACCCATTTAAGACGTAATCAAACTTGTCTGGGTTATTTTGAAACACGATGATGATCATGAAATCAATCTAGTTGTGACCGTCAACAAGGAGTCTTATTACAAAAGTAATTTTGCCAATTCCTTGTGGAAGGGCTGGAGGAGGGACTTAAAGGATTCAGTCATTAATCATAAGACAAATAATTAATGCTAAATATATTACTCATTGTGGATGTAGTATCGAAAATAATATCGCTAGTGATATTTGTTTGTCTCGCAATGTGTGGTCAATAAGGGATCTAAAAGATCACAACCTTTTGTGTGCCGCTGCAACACTTACTCAAAATAATTAATGTTTGTGATTGCATTTAATAGTGCATGTGCACTGCTCACAAATTAAGTTACAGACTTATCAAGTTCATTATCCGGTTAATTGTTACTTAACCAAGTTTAGTGTTATAAATAATGCACAAGCTTCAACACATGATTTACTTGTTTTAAAATGGAAATATGAATAAACATATAAGTTGAAAAATAGGCAAAATACCTGATCAAAATGACAAGAGTGGCGTGCACCTGTAATCCAGCTGACAGTGGAAGTTACAAACTGATTCAGCCGAGGATGCAGTTTCGAAACTGAGTCACGTCTTTCGGATGGTGACGTTAAAGATCGGTCCCCAGACGTAAATAATCATATCTGATTGATACACGTCTGTAAAAACCCAAATACAAACACACACGTATTATGCTTAAAGTGTATGCGTCAATGTCCTTGCCATTTGAAACCATGTGCATTTCATCGTGCATTAATTCTATGTTAATGTGTCAGAGATAGGCATACGCGCATCTTGGATGTGCATTATAATCACTTCTATTCAGAAGTCATCATTTTTTTATGGGAACTAGTTTGCACAGTGGGCGTGGTAGGAAAGATTGATACACGGTCACATGTTGTCATTCAACCAATTAGACTGCCCATATTCTTGAACTATCTTATAATCGTTATACATTTTATCATGAATGACAATGTATGAAGCATCATATTTTGCTGTAATGAATATCTTGAAATTGAGAATTATTTTTCTGAAAATATAGGTCAGAACCGTCTCTTCTCGAACCAAGAGCTGTCAGGGGAACTCTAGTTTCTCCCTTGGTAGGCATGTCTAATGAAAACCGAAGCAAATTAGATACAATGTGGTCAATACCAATTCACTTAGAATTCTCTGGCGACGCGAAACCAACAATATGCAGACACAATATACAGACATGCTTTTCAGTCTCTCCCCAAAATTGTGATTGAATCAGATTTTGATGTCGGCTGATGCTATCACTTCCTGTGAATGTATCAATAGAAATTAAGTTTGTCTGAATTTTTTCCTCAAATGAAGACAACAATATTACATTTTACGGTGTACACCCCCTCCCCTCTCTCTTTCAGTTGAAGCACAAAATCATGAAAATTGCTGTTATATTGGAGGTTTGTTAGCACTTTTGTTTGACTGTAGAACAGGGAAAGTTCATGCTCAGAAATATATTTTTGTTTTACTTGGTCAAGTGTACTTTAGACAAATTTCTCTACATCTGTCACTGTTTGGATGCATTTTGGGGTTCATTTCTTTCTTTTATACATTTTACCTTTGTGTACTGAAATATCAGATTGTCTTACTACCTGTACATTTTGTAAATAACAAATAATAAAGTGTTGGGTCTTTGTTGTTTGGCAGCATGAGACTTCGTATGAATTTTTTTTAAAGAAAATTGAGAAAATGTTCTAGTTTGAGAGCTTTTTTTCTTTGCATCTGTTTTAGTTTCTGCCTTGGCCTTTCATCATATCTTGTGCGAAAAATAGAGTAACACACCAATATAGTATAGACATCATTGGTGAAATAGGCAAAAAGAATTTTAACATATTAATATCCGTATATGGTGAATATTATCAATCACATAATTTTTTTATTTTTTTTAACACCTTCTGTTTTTTTGCATAATCCTGCAATTTATTTATATCATCATCAATTATTCATTTTGATGACAAGTAAAAACATATGACGTTTTACTTGCCAAATGCCAAATCTAAACCCTGTAAATTTCCATGGAAGAAGAAGCGAGAGAAGCATACCAGTTTAGAGATATGAGCATCTTCGGTTAAATACAAAAATAGAACACTTCTGAGAGAATTCTAACAAGACTCCGTCATTTCGCAGGATGAGACTGAGTATGAACCAAAAACAAAGATATTGTGAAAGTTCCTGTGAGCACAAGCATCATTGGTGAAATACAAAAATAGAATAATTCTGAAAGAATTTTAACATTTAAAAGGTAAAGAATATCAATTAAATCCTTTTTATGAAAACAAATAATACCACCTGCTGTTTTGCTGCTTAATCCTGCAATTTTGTCAAGATCATCATCAGTCATTCATTTTGACTACGTATGAAAACGAATTGATTTTTCTTGCCGGATGCCCTATTAAAACCTTATAATTTTTCATAGAAGAAGAAGCTAGGTAATGCACTAGTTTAGGGAAATGGGCTTATTGGTGAAAAATCTAAAATAAAAGTATTTCTGAAAGCACAATTTCACCAAGTTAGACCCAATTTAGTTGTTTAAAATATCAATATCATTAACAAATAATATCACCTGCTATTTTTGCTGCTTAATCCTGCAATTTTACCAGATCATCATCAATTATTCATTTTGACGACAAGAAAAACAGATTGCCCAATGCCCTTTCAAAACCCTTTAATTTTTCATAGAAGAAGAAGCTAGGATAGGCACCCATACAGAGAAATAGGAATCATTGGTGAAACAATGACCTTTATTGGATTACTGTCCTTCATCTCGGCACAAATGGATTCTTACAAATCAGCAAGATTTAAGGCTACACGGCAGGTGGATTTGGCTAGGATGCTGCTTTAAAGGTAGTCTCCAAATCTGGGAATCGTGGAAATTATTCTGAAAAAATTGTTCAAAGACACCAATAAATAATGGTTGGTTATATATTGAGTTGCAATACCAGGGTGATGCAACCTCTTTGCTTTTCTAGATTTGGCAAGAGATATAGGATAAGGATATTGGTTGATTTTTTTTTTTTTTGGCAAGATTTTTGGATCAGGGATAGGGTTAGGTATAGAGTTGGATATTGTATTGTTTTTAATCATTTTCATGATTTTTATAATATTTATTTTCAAATGATAACGTTTGAAATGATTGCAGGTTACAGTAAATGCAAAAATACTGAGCTTTATCTTCCAGTGCAATTCCATTTTTATCCTCCCTGAAATTGAGATAGCTTACATAGATTGTGGTGATTAATGGGTAACAGTCTACGAGTGACAGGTGATCCTTTCTTTCTGATATCTAGGTTGGTTGTCTTGGTTAGACCATATCGTCTTTTGAGTTGCAGAAGGGCACCAACTCATCTTTTTACACTGATTTAATGCCCTTCTAGCTCTGAACAGATGCGCCTTTGAATGTTTTTTAAACTGATATATGGCGCCATACAAATGTTGTCCGTCATCATCATCATCATCATCATTTGCCAGTATATGCTACATGATAAAAGCAACAGTCATTCTAAATTAAATATTTGTATCAAGAAAGTAGAGTGATGAATCAACATGATATTTTGATTCACAATGATATCAGTGTATAATGATCTTCAGTAGATATGAAGATGTTGTCTGTTTGGAGCCAGAAGACACTATGAATATGACGGACAAAGAAAGCGGACAAAATATAAAGTTCCTCATTCTACCCTCAACAATTGCTGTGGTAGACAAAGGAACATCCCTTCACTGCTATTACATGTATGTAAAAATGTGTAGAACAGGTGATTTGTTCTACACATTTTTACATAATAGCAGTGAAAGTAGTGCTGTAGCCGAACCGCCGAACCGAACGGAAGTTCGCCGAACATGGCACTTCCGAACCGAACCGAACCGAACCGAACGCAAAGGCCTGGTTCGGATGTTCGGCAGAAAAATGTTAACATTTTCGAAAGCTAATAAACTTGTCATTTTGTACCTAATTTTCATGT